TCTACTTACTCGAATTCGTCCCATGGTGCAATGGTCATGTAATAATATGAAGTTGTTGCATTATGCTTCTAATTGGGAATCCGCGGAATAACGCAATTTAAACCAAATACAACTAGGTGAGGACAGACGAACGTGTTGTATTCGGAATTCGAAATCAGGCAGTCATCCAGCACAATACAATCATTAGTTCATACAAACATCACACTATGTACATGATCGTAGTCATAGTAATAACAGGTTACATATGCACAACTATAAAAATGGTTACAAACACTTGATAAGGGAATGTTCGAACAGGAAAATGTATTTGGTTCAGTCGTTTTCATGAAATTCCTTTATTCATACTCATTACATTTACATAGTGTATGCTTCATTAATCAAATCATACAATTAAGAGTATGTAAGTCTGTATAAATAAGATAAACAGAATCATAAAATGAACCCAAGCCAAACTATGGAATGATCAAGTAGACTTAATGAATGAAGTCATACATAACGATCTGATGAGTTCTGCAAAATAACCAACACGAATTCATGTTTAATTTAATTATTCTTTCAGTAGATTTCAATAGATTATTTTAACAAGGTAGGATTACACTTCTGACTGATGATTGAGTAGTAAGCAAAGCTATGCTCAACTCATTCTTTAGTGATGATCGAATATTCTAGATCAAGTTTCAATATGACCACTAGTGCAAGTGGTTGAGTTGTTAGCTGGTTGAACTTAGTAAATAGAAAACTATTCTTGAACCAAGTTTCATACTGGCTAACACTCATCATCAGGGCCCACTTGTAATATTTGGGAGGACTGGTTCTTTCAATAACATCCAGCTACATATTTTCATACTTCACTATCGAGATATTCGAGTGACGGATGATCTTCAGTGAAACTAAGATATTTAAAACTGATTGATTAACGATTAACGTTTTACATCATGTTTTTCAAGCCTTCCAGGTATTGACTGAATTCTATTTACTATTATTATACGATGTACAATTTTCATACAAATTGCGTTCTGCTTCCATTCCTTACTGTTCGATCCTCTTGTCTCTCTGCTGCCAGTCATTTCGTTCACGAGTAATGTCATATACTACTTATGTCGATATAAGTAGCACACACCACAACAGTAATATTAATAACTATATTTCATGGAAGTTTCAAATATTCCCATTTACTTCAGTATACGTTGCCATACAACAACAGCTTACATAATCATTAAGTGAACGAAATGAACTGTTTGTAGATATAGAATTGTTTACACTTCCATCTCCTCTTGTAGACAGACCAGACATAGATAATGGTGACAATCAGTTTTATAAACAGAAGCCTCGTTCAATATTTGGACGATAAATCTTCAGTGAAACTGAGATCTATAAAGCTGATTGATTAACGATTAAGAATTGACTAAATTCTTTTGACAACTATTATACGGTTTACTATTCTTTATTTATTCTCAATCTAGTAGTTACAGTCTCCCTATTCTCACCTGACCTGTATAATACTTATTTTATATTATAAGGTATGATGTGGTCTAGTCAGGTTCTATATAAATCGCGTATATCTCACTTATGTTTAGAACGTAGACTTGAAATGAACAATCTGTAATTCCCCAACTTCAAGAAAAGGTCACAGTGGGTTAGAAGGAGAAGATCAAGCATAGAATGAAGCAAAATATTTGAGTGACGAGATCATCGTTTCACTTCATAGAAATAGAGAAGAAACAATGAGATAGTTGCACTGAAAGTCATTAGACAGTGTCCCTTTTGATTCTTTTCTTATTCAGTGGAGTTAAAATTGTTACATGTGATTAGTTAGTGATTTATTTATCAAACACTTTTACTAATGAAACGGTTTCTGTGGTCTTAATAAACGATTGTAACTGGAGATACAGGATTTGGTAATGAGAAATGAATTTCTAAGTGGAAACTGAATAGCAATGGGAGTATCGAATTGTTCAAAGACAGAACGTGTTTTTCGAAAACAGTTGAATATCATAATCAAGTTGCATATTTGAATGCAGTTTGTACGAATATTCGTCAAGGTTAGAACGAATAGTTTGACCGAAATCGGGCGCTGAGTATAGAGAAGTCATTATATGTGAAAATTATATCTGAAATAATCTCAGCGATTAAAAATCAAGTAGTTAGTTGAAGTTAGACATCGTTGGATACCGGCTCAGTGGTCTATTTAGTTAAAGGCATGGGGCGAGACTGATAGGTCCTGTGTTCGAATCCCGCGAGGTGGGGTCGTGAATGCGTATGATAGTTCGTAGTATTTGAATTGTAGCATGAACTAAGAATACCCGAAATAACGCAATTGAATCAAGAGGTACTAGACAAGCCCTAACGAGTGTATTGTATTTAGAATTCAAAATCAAGCATTCAACAAGTACAGTGGTGTCATTATTTCATTCAAACAGCACATCCGCCACAGCTTAAATAGGGGTATTAGTGTTTGTAATCGGTTGTACGTCTTATTGTTATGTTCATCCTGAGTCTGTCCGACACTGTATTGGATAAAAACTTTGTAGTATTTAGAATGTGCTCATTAGTATTGGAATTAACAAACGAAATCGGAACAGACTCACCTGGAATTGTATACAATCAGCATGTCGGTTTTGTAATGAAATCATTAATATCTAGAATTCGAACCACATATTTTTCAACACTATCCTCCCCCACGAAATAATGTTGTATCTTTATATCCCCAAGTTATAAATGATGTGGCTTCATTTAAAACATATTTCGCACATTGTTTAGAGTAAACATTAGAACTGTTTTTGTGATAAGGGTAAACAGCAGTTAATGTGAAATTATCCGAATTGTTATCAAAATCGAACTCATTTAGTACTCGTGCTTCGCATTGAACCAGTTTCCCACAAGAAACATCAGTTCGAGTATCCACACTACATTAGCACAGAGATGCAGTGGTCGATTCAAATCCCGTAATGGTAGAGGTAATAAGAGTATAAGCAGTGTGTTATTTAAAGAGTATAATACAGTGAAATAAATTTGGGAAGAGAAAAAAAAGAGACAAGGAGGAATAAGGAGATTGGAATTTGGGAGAACACAAAGAGTGTATGTACCTGCGCCATTGCAAACAATTTTGAGCCATGTAATTCAAGGTCTCTAACCATCAGTTGCTATCGTCTCGCGGATCCCAACTAGGTAGTCTACACCTACCAACATAACTCAGTCCACTTATCAGTAACTTAATGGATTTGTGCCATGTTTCGGTCTGGCCACCCCTAGCTCTCTTACAACTTACTCCTATACCATTGAGCATCGTACGTCGAGGCAGTCGGTCGTTGGGCATACGTAACACGTCTCCCAGCCATCTCAACTGATGAAGTTTCACTACGTCACCAATTGATTTGCCATCCTCACCTAGTACCCGTTTCCTAACAACTGCTTTACTTACTCGATTGTCCCAGGATATACGAGCAATGTTTCGAAGACACCTATGATCAAATACTAGTAACCTACGAATATCCTCTACTCTTACCGGCCATGTTTCACTGCCATAAAGTAGGATGGAACGAACTGCTGAGCAGTAAACATGTCCTTTGGTTGATAGACGGATATCTCACCTACGCCATAAATGATGCAAGTTGGTAAAAGCTAGTCGAGCCTTCTGTATTCGTGCTGAGACTTCGTCACACACCAGATCACAAGGACTGATGAGACTTCCAAGATAAGTGAAGCGATCGACTTCTCTCCCTACCATTAGTTCGGGTGTCAATGCAACCCAATCCTGAAGCAACATTTTGCATTTCGACGGGGAGAATCGCATCCCGAACATGCTTGCATTGTTGCTTAGAGTGGTCATAAGACTCTGCATTTTGTCAGCGTCTTCACCAAATAAAACTATGTCATCAGCATATTCTAAGTCAACAAATGAACCTCCTGGTAGAAGTTCGACCCCTGGAAATCTAGACGAGGAAAGTGTTATCTCTAAAAGTACGTCGACGACAAAGTCGAGCAAGAATGGAGAGAGTGGATAGCTCTGACGAACACCATTTGAGGTAATCAATTCTGATGACAGTTCGCCATAAGTTCTCACTCTTCCAGTTGTGTTCGAGTAGAGAGCCTGTATAAGGTTAAGTAATAAATATAAAGCATTTTCACGAAGTCCAACCATGTCTAGCGAGTTATCAATGTCAGTGGTTTGTTCAATAGCATTTCTTCTAAGTCTCTTTTAAGAAACTAACTACGTGCCTTTAAAAAACATAATTTTTAAAACAGCACTGGAATGTAGTGTGGTTCGTGCTACTTGTATCAATATAAGTAGTATATAACGTTAATTAGGAATGAGATGTCTGGCAGCAGGATCTCAAGAAGATCAAGAAGGAAAGAACGGGAACATAAGGCAATTGGTATGTACATGCAGGAACAATGAAGTCTGAAACAGCCGACTGATATTTGCAAATGGAACAGTCAAGTTTTAGACAATTGATTGACATTGTATGGTTCTCAGATTTCACTAAGATATTCTGTAATTTTGTTTCGTTCACTACAGTAGTATCATGATTACGACAAAACAAATAATAACTCGTTATGTTGGTGCCTAATTATAGAAAAGAAACTAACTACTTTTCTATCTGCGAAATGTTATTTTCACGATGCCATGAAGGTTAAGTTACAACTTTCAAATTCATTGAAGTAAAAAAATGACTAACTTCGGTACATGAGCAAATTCAGACTTGCTGTTTGCTGAAAGATGAAATCTTTAAGCTTCACAAAATACATCAGTTGGTTTTCAAGTTGTTCTGCATGAATTAGTCACCATAGTAACAAAAGAACCTTAAAAGTCCCATACTTAGATCGTTTTTTTTTTATTTTGCATAAGTAACAAGGTCCAATTTCGTTGCTAAGTCTGCTCATCGGTGAATTTAACAAGGTTTTATGTTTACTTTTATATTTCAAATATTTCCCATAATTATTTACTAATGTTTTTACTCTAAATGACCGAAAGTTTATAAAACATTGTCCTTTTTATATTTCAGTACAACTGAGAATATAAAATTTGCCATTGGTCAAGCATTTCAGTTGCGAGCCGAACTAAATGCTAGAGATGACAAAGTCAAGTCATATTTAGAAGAAGGTAAAAGACTGAAAGCTTCATTCAAACAACATTTGATGCAATATGATAAGTCAAGTTATGAAAAGTGCCATCAGCCATACGAAATGTCCCAGTTATATTCGAAAATAGAAATGAGAAAACAACATGGAACTAATAATCCAACTGATGAAATACAAATTTGTAAGATCAGTGAACAGCGGAAAAAGTTACGGAATAATACCTTACAAAATGTGAATATTACTGACAAGGATTGTATTATAGAAAAAGCTGAACAACACAGTCGAATCGCAACAGTTAGATCAATTTCCTCTGATCCTCACCTTGAATCTATGAGGTTAAATGCAAATTACAGTCAAATGTCAGATTCATCATCTATGGCATTAAATCAACTGGATTTACAAAATGAGAGTGATATGAGCAATGAAGAAGACCAAATAATAACAGATCTTCAGTTACGTATGACACGATTAGTAACATCATGGTATAATTTGCACAAGAAATGGCATCAAATATATGAACGACTAGAATTACAACTTAGTATTAATGAATTTGCAAGGTTAGTTAAATGATAACTGATCACTAATTGACTTCTTATACTATTGAAATTTGATCATTCAATGAATGGTTTCGTTATTTTACACAACCATTTGATCGGTCTGTAAGACAATTCACAAGAAATACTCTTGATCTTGAACTTAGTCATCCATTTAAACAGATACATTTCAAAGGGTTTCTACTACTGGCGTTTTTTCGCAACTAACCTGTCTGTCACTGGTTTAATCATTTCGAATAACGTATGTGGCTAATCTCGGAAATCAACGCCTATGATTCGAGCTTTTTCACAAAGATATTTTCAAAGTTTTAGCTTTTTAAACTTCTATAATTCAGCCTATCAAATTCTATGTAAATCAGGATGCTAATGAAGACCTGGGAGGAGTTTACACTTGTTTTTGGTATGTTATTGCGGTCCTCCTTATTATACACGCATAATTAATTCATTAATCAGAGGTTCATATTTCTTAACGAATCGGTTATCAATGTAATCAGTCAAATTGTAATGCTTTTAAAGTGACAGAGGTTTAACTTTATACTGAAAATATTTCAGATGTATTGAGATCAATGACTACTTAATACTTCTATTGGCAAATAGTATGAACATAATCAATCAAATAATGAACTGAGAAATAAGCCTTAGATAGTGAAGAAGGTTGAAATCATCTATAATTTAAGTCAACTAAACTGATTCATCGATTCAACATTTCAAACGTCAGCTCATAATCCAAGTGGCCTATATGCATTTATCTAACTCTGAAAGTTGAACTATTTTATCTCATTTTATGGTGTGATAGTTACATATATATTATTTTTGCTTCGTTTTCTAACTATTCGTTCATCAGTCATAGGAAGAAATAGTACAACTGTTCAGTCTATTTACTAATTTCGATTATCATGTGATCATTTGCGTACATGTATTTGTTATTTTTCTTATCAAGTGTCGCAGATTCTTTGGAACATTGGCTGGTACTTCATTCAGCAGAAGTGGAATGTTTAGATATGGGTGATTCTATCAAGGAAACACAAATATTAATTGATCGATTAAATGTCTTGGAACGGAATACTTTGCCACAAATCAGCAGATATGAAAAAGTTAAACAACTTACAAAGGTTTGCTTAGATGTCACATTTAAAACGTTTAATATTCAATGGTTAAGATCATGAGTCAGTTGAAGCTAGACCTGGAAGCACTGGACCGCCGTTTCGTTCTATTACGGGACCCCTCAGCAGTGCGCATCCACGGCCTCGCCCCCTGTGAGATTCGAACCCAGCATCTACTCGTTTCGAGCGCGAGCACTCAACAACTAGACCACTGAGCCGACTTCTAACACTGTTAATGTTTAACTTCAATTAATCCATGAAATCGAGCGACACATCCACCATTGTCTTCACAACAGACCTGATTGAACTCCACTGGTCACTATTTCTCACTTGTTATCCAGAAACAAATATTTGCTTAAAAGGTTATACTGATGAAATAAATACAAATATCCAAATCATCTATCTCCAGTAATCAATAAAACATTGAACTTTTTAACCTAGCTGTAGATTTTTAAGACGATTTACAAAGATAATAGGCACAACCATCTTCAGCTATGTTATCAGTAATACATCCGTTGAATATTAAATTTTGGTAAAGAAATTGCTTTTGTCTATTTAGATGGTGGCATGAAATGAAACTCAGTAAAGCTTTTGTCAATGTCTAGTTCAATTTGATACCATTTCAAAGTGTTGTAAATTACTGATTAAGGAAATGGACGATTTTCTCTATTTCAAATCGACACTTATTGCATTCACTTTTAATAGCTAAAGTCAAAGATACTTGGAAATAAGCGTTTGAGTAATATCATGCGACAAGTTTAATGTGAAGGCTCTTATACAAGTAAAGATTAGAGTCAAACTTGAAAAGTGCTCAAATAGCTACTGTATGTTTTGAAACATTTTTGGAACGCAATACAAAGTATCAACCACTAGTGAATTACTGTTAGAATGCACAAAATCTTGAGTTCTTTTTAGTCTTTAACTATGATAAGATGATGTTCTCCTCAAGATTATATTAAGAAGTGGGTGGTGTATTTCTCAAGGGAAGGGGGTAGACAAGCTGAAGTATAATGTTCGGGGTTTCATCATAATAATGTTCTATGACTTGTATAGTAAGTGATCAGTTATTGTGTATATTCAGCTCGGTGAAAGGTGGGGAGAATCATCGAGTCAGTATTGCTTATGTGACATAATAACCATAAACATACATTGCCTATAATTATATAAGGTTAACATTCCAAAGCATTACACTCTTAGTGAACTATATGAGCAATTGTTCTAGTCATGTTAATACTTTTGGTTCCATAAATGTATAGAACTTTAGATTTTCGACTGACGAAATTGACATATTTTAGACCAGGCAAGTGAACTAATGACGTTATGCATTGAATAATATTTCAATGAAGCATAAGCACTAATTCAATGTTACCTTGGTCATTTTGATAGTTTATTATTTTATTTATTTTAACACATAGATATTGGTACAAGGAGGCGCCAAATACATATGTGCCACACAAATCTCGTTCGACATGTGTGAGGGGTTGTGATACTGCCCGGGTGCTTAAACAGATGCAGGTGGTTTTCTTAGGGGGCCACCCCCTTAGCCTTCGACCTGAAGGTCTGATTCACAAGACAGTATATCAACGTAGGGAGATGCAGTCGCATGGTAGCCGGTGACCAACAATTGGTTCATACGCCATTTGTTCCTTCTGGATCCTGGAGCCCATGTGCACCATTAGTTTGGAACCCGGTTAAAGCGCCGGACATTCGCATTTCGTTCTCTCATTTTCGTAAACAACACTATGGCCACGAGAAGGTGGTGAGTAAGACTTCCCTGGCAGAGGATGTATTGCTGGTTAGATAAAAAAAGCCAACGGCCATACCACGTTGGAAGCACCGGTTCTCGTTCGATCACCGCAGTTAAGCAACGTTTTGATAGTGGTTTCTTAAATCTCATTCTCTTTTAAAGAATAACAGATGGAATCTAAATTTTAATACACATTCACAATTTAAGACTTTAAGTTTACTATGTTTCACATTTCACAATGTGTCTTTAGAATATTTAACTTTTACCAAAAGCTCATTAAGAAGGCCAGACATCTCTCTCATATTACTTTCTTCAGTCTAGAATATATATGCCCGCGCACTTTGGCTCCATCATTTATCAGCATGTTACATATACTTTCTTAATTTATTTTAGTTTGAACTCGCTGAGATCGAAGAAAATATGCTGAATGTGCCAATAAGCTGTGTGAATATTGTTCACAGTCCAGATCTAGAAAATATACAAACACTTTTAAATTACTATGAATTGAACGAAACAGATGCATCAAATGATTTTGATGATTCTAAGCAGAATGTCGACACAATGACAGATGAGAATTTAAAGGATACTACTGATTCACCTGAAGTTAGTTGGGAGGTGGCAGAAGGTCAGAATCTTTCATTCAGTAGTTTAATATAACACACATAGTTTTAATTTAATAAAATTTATTCACTAATTATAAAAAGTAGTTTAACTAAACTAAATATTTCAAAATTCCTGGTTATTTGACATGATCACAGAAAAAAGTGGGAAAAACAGGATTTTCAGTTCATTTCGAGACTTTCTATCAGCCACAAATAATATAAAACCACATTTAGTAACATCATTGCTTACACGTTTTTCAAATACCTTACTTATGCTATTTGAACTCGACTTCCTTGATGATGATGATGATGATGATGATACCGTGAAAGTTTGTTTATAATCTAATCATAGAATCTCTCTGTTTAAATCAGAATGCAATATGTGACATCATTGTTCACATGATACAAGTCCAGGCTATTATCGAGTCATTAAACAAACTAACACATTTGATTAGTAGTTTGATTAATCTCTCAGTGGTTACTAGCTGTTATAATTCTCCCAGTTAGTAATGTTTTCGTTTGATGTAGTATTGTGGTACGTGCTACTTATATTGATATAAGTAGTATATTATGCGAGACAGGAATGTAATATCTGGCAGCAGAAGATGAGTGATTTGCGATGCATGTTTGGTTAATGTTTGTCCTCTGGCAGGTTTCACTCATTTTCATGTAAATTTCGTAATTTTAAATGCTTTAAATGTGATAAGATTGGATACATTCAGTCAGTTTGCAATAGTAGGGTTCATTCCACTGCAACTAATGCTAAGATTTGTGATCGTGACCCTATTAAGGTGGGTGTTTCTAATGATCATTTATCTTTATCCACGACTTCGAAAAGCGGTATAGAGTCACATAACAGACCAGAGTTAGACGAAACTCAGAATCCTTGTGAGACAATAGTTACTAATCAATCAACTTATGAGATTTCTCACATTACTGTACCAGATATGGTTTGTCGTAATGATTCACATATTTCTGACGAAATTCCTTATAAATCTGAGAAAAATATATTGAGTGAACCTAATCATGATCAAAAACCTGATGTACTTTTGATAGATGCTAATTTTTCTAATGATCCTTTATTCTGTAATAACATTCTTAATAAAGTTGAGGAAAACATTACAGAAGAATCAAATCCTGATGTCATATCATATCATATTTGTTCAATGCAAAGCATGAGTACTAAATAGGATCGATTTGGATTACGATTTGGATGATTTCATATCAACTGTTATTTATCCTTATCGTAAAGTCACTTCCAATGAATACTCTAGTCAGTGTTCGTTCGTGCTTATCTGATAAGTTTTAAATGAAGCCATATCATTCATAACTTGGGGATACGAAGATCCAACATTATTTCGTGTTGGAGGATAGTGTGGGAAAATCTTTGGTTCAAATTCTAGTTATCAGTGATTTCAGTACACAATGGACATAGTGATTGTATACGATTGCAGGATCCAGTTGAGTCCATTCTAATTTCAGTTGTTAATTCTAATACTGATGAGCATATTCTAGATAATACATCACGAACTGACATCAGCTAGATAATACATAGTCTACATGAAATACACAGTCGGATGAAACAATGAACCTAAGGAGGTAGAATTGATCACAGAAATTTGGATTTTTATATAAGCTGTGTGGTATTTATATGAACTTACGATTCATTTGTACTTGTTCATTGCTTAATTTCAAATTCCAAATACAATTGATTCGTTCGTGTTTATCTAGTACCTCTTGAGTAAATTGACTTATTTCTAGGATTCCTAATTTGTACTATAATTCAACTACTCCTAATTATCACATTCTTCTATATGTAGGTCAGGGAATTATTGATTTTCATTTGCAATGTAAACAATACTAGCTCATTATACAAAACGAATGAAACTATGTATGTTCCACATAATCTATCTAATCACAAGCTGTACACACATTTGAACTCTTTGTATTTCATTGTTGTTTTGCACTTTTTGAGAAGATGAAGTTCTTTTTGTTTTACAAATACATTCCTCCGCTTTAATGTTTTTTCATTGGTTTCACATTCCATTCTATAAACTGAATGAAATAGAATAAACTAACAATCTTCATTTATTTTATAATCTGTAATTATATTCAGCTCTGTTTCATATTTCTGTAAAACATTCAATGAGATTGAGGTGATGGTGTAATGTTTGCTGTTAGTTTGAATATCTATTTAGATAAGTTTCGCCAAATTCATGAGTTAATTGGAGCTAGACTACCATGGAATACGTGGAAGCATTGGACGGCCGTTTCGTCCTAGTATGGGACTCCTCACCAGTGTGTGTCCACGACCTCGCCTCACGAGATTCCAACCCAGGATCTATCAGTCTCGCGCCAAGCGCTTAGCCAACTAGACTACTTAGCCATTACGCAATGGTGTTATTGTCTAACTTCAACCAGTCCACGTAGTTGCGCCACCGTACACCATTTTCTTCAGTGAGTTGACATCTCACAACAGAACTGGTTGAACGCCACTGGTAACTGATAGGTCCTGGGTTCGAATCTCGTGGGGTGCGAATTCGTGGATGCGCATTCCTGAAGAGTCCCATATTAGGACGAAACGGTCATCCAGTACTTCAAGGTTTTCCATAGAGTTCTAGCTTCAGTTGACTCCTCATTTCAATCTAATTCAAGATTGTTAGTTTATTATATTTCATTCAAATTTCCAAATTTAATGCGAGATTTTCAAGCTGCCAAGAACTTTTGGCATCTAATACAAGTGGAAAACACAAAGTGTATGAGCTAGCAGACACATTGCACATTGAGGTTGTGAATCCCGATCATGTATGATTCCATGACCATGCCATGCAAAATATTCATTATATGCAGTATCGTTCGTGTCCAAATACTTCAAATAGTCTGCCAGTTTCCCTGGTGATTCGAATTGATCAACGTGAATAAACGAGTATGGAGGAGCGACTCTTTCATATTCTTCTATCGATGCACCCATCACAATTGGAAGTATATCGTTTCTTGGAATGAATAATAAGTTTGCAATTTGTTAAACACTTATCGAAATCTCATCATACAAGTGAACCGTGAACATTCGCAAAAATATGTATATACATTGAAAATGTCAAAATTTCAACTTACAGAACGATGGAAGTGAGATTTCAGTTTTAACCAGTTTCACCGTTTTATTTTGACGTGACAGATATAGAAAAATATGCACTATGATTGCTTAACACACATTAGTCTCCAAAAGGCCACAGTCTCTTCAGTAACATGACTTGATATAGAAATGTGTGTCACAAACACTTCAGTACACTGACAGATTATTCAGCTTAGTAGTTCATTGCATAATCCTAATCAGAGATGCACTTCCCTTGTGGACACAACATATTAGGGACTATTGTGTTTTGGTGTTTATGAGTTGAGCCTTTAAACTGTTGATGTATGGCTTAATATGTGTTAAATTAGACCCTAAATCTGTTGATGACAATGCATTAGCAATATTGCAGACCAGTTATTCGTTACATATGTCACCATCATCTTGTATCTTTTGCTCACATGATGCCTTTTGACGGGGAGATTATTGTATCTGACGATTGTCAGTGAATTTATGTGTCCTATGTTATATCCGAACGAAGAATAAATGGATGGTAACTGCTATGAATTATTTATGGATTATTACTACATATTGATTTTGGTATTGTTTGTTTGAATCGCTCCATTGATGTTTATGACTTACATTGATCAGTCTCTAATTGATATATGTGAATCCTGTGAAGATTGCCTTGATATTGTTTTGCGTCACAAGCATTATAAGTAGGGATGGATGGAGGCTAGTACTGGAATCAAGGAGCGCACGGTACTAGGTTCGATTCCACGAGTGAACATCAACTCATAATTTTAACTATTAAATTTCTAAAAATCTCCAGAAATCCCCTGTTAATATTGAGATTTATCACAGTGAACAAGAAAACATGTTATAAGCCCAAATTATGCTTACTATATATATTTAACGACAAAGGCTTATCCAGTAAAAAAATTCATCTTGAGTGTGAAACATTCACACTAGATAGTATTCATATAATCATTAATTCTAACTTAAAACTGTTTCGTTTATTCATATAGATGTACGTATATATTTGAATATATCATCTGCTACAAAAGTAAATCATTAACTTATAAACAAAGATGGATGGTGGCTAGCAGTGGAATGCAGGACGGGCGTTTCTTGCTATTTGGGACTCGTCAGCTGGATGTACCTGCGTCTCGGAGTTGGTGTTCGCTTCGGGACTCGAATCCAGTACCATTCGCTTAGAACGCCATCGAGTTATCAGCTTAGCTACTGAAACGAAAACTACTATTGAATTTATCAATAAATGCCTCGAATCAGGTCATTATTTAAAATTCTACTATACGTCACTTCGACGAAACGGGGTCTACCCCAATAGAAAAACACTGAAACGCCACTCCCTAAACCAGATTGATGCCTTGCATTCAGACATAAACGATATACAAATGAACGTTTTTCTCAGAAAGTATGCAGTAGATGACTTAGCTGATGATTTGAAAATACCTTTTATGGACTATGTTACAAACCTTATGGATCAGAGATCAGGGAAGAAACTCGTCCAGCTACTGAAAGGTCTGGAGAATCAAATGGCCGAAAGCGAATTTTCAACTGACTGTAAAAGATATGTACATAACTTTGCTAGGGTCGAACTAGATAAAGAAAAACTAGAGGGATTATCCCTAGGTCTAAAATTTTGTGATACTCGTAATAATTGTAACCACATCGATACAGATATACAGTTGGTAAGATTATAAGCAGTAATCGGAAAGATTAGGGTTTGAAGATGCTATTCAAGGAGTATAATTCAGTGAAATAAATTTGGAAAGAGAAAAAATGAGAAAAGGAGAATTCAGAAGATTAGAAATCGGGAGAACACAAAGAGTGGATGCACCTGAGCCATTGCAAACGATTTTTAGCCATGTCATTCAACGTTTCTAACCATCGGTTGCTATCGTGTCGTGGATCCCAACCAGGTAGTCTACACCTACCAACGTGGCTAAGTCCACTTGTCAGTGACTTCATGGATTTGTACCATGTTTTGGTCGTTCTTCCAACCTATTCCTACACCATAAAACATCTCACGTTGTGGCAGTCGGTGGTTGGGAATACGTAACACGTGTCGCAGCCATCTCAACTGATCAAGTTTCACTACTTCATCAATTGATTTGGCATCCTCACCTAGTACCCGTTTCCTAACAACTGCATTATTTACTCAGTGGTCCCAGGATATACGAGCACTGTTTCGAAGACACCTATGATCGAATACTAGTAACATACGAATATCCTCTACTCTTACTGGCCATAATTCACAGCCATAAAATAGGACGAAACGAACTGCTGCGCAGTAAACCCGTCCTTTGGTTGATAGACGGATATCTCGCCTACACCATAAATGACGCAAGTTGGCAAAAGCTAGTCGAGCATTCTGTATCCGTGCTGAGATTTCGTCACACACGTGATTACAAGGGCTGATAAGACGCTTGTGCACGGTTGTTCAGTTCAAAGAAAGATTAACAACTGAAGTTATGAATATCTTAGTGAATGGTAATAGTCTGGAATAAGTTTTTGATGTGAACTGAATGATAACCAGGACAGTTATTGATTAATAAATGACTTAATTCACTCATAATGTCTATTTCCTTCCAAACCACATATAACATAGATGACAGCAATAAAGGATGTTGAATTAATTAGTCAAATATATTTGTACTAAATGGCACCGGATACATATGCACCACACGAGTCACTGATTTGCGTGTGGGTTATGATACTTCCCGGGTACCCAGACTGAGGCAGGTGTATATATACCTGAAATCCTCAGGAAACTATTTTTTTGATTACTTTCTATCTTTCTGAGTATACTCTATCAAAATGTACACAGCGAGGTCTTCCCAAACGCATAGCTGAACGCAGTCCTTTGTGATTTTTAAAAGGCGAATGAAGAACAATCAATAGTTCAATACTGGAATATCTTGTGAACTTTGGTTACACTGACCCATCAGATATATCTTTCAATATCATCTATACAGTTGAATGATTTGATTTAAGAATAGTGCATACAATAACTTGTCCACTGTAGAGGCTGAAGATGCCACAGGTATTCGTTGTTTGACAACGCTTTAACCAGTAACATTTTCTAATATGAATCGTACCCACCAAGTGAAATCAAAAGACAGAAGCTAAGAAGGTTCGAAGATAAATTTGATAGGCCATCAATATATCAAGCATTGTCTGATCTAATCTGGCTAGCGATTGCAGGGGTTGTTAAGCACGGCGTTCCCACTCGTAATCTGGTGCGGATGCATGACCGAGCGCCTTCAGCTAGGTGAGTCCATTAAAACCAATGTGGTCAGCATCCAATGTCGAAGACTTACAGAGTTATTTATTTTGGAGATTTATTTACCTCTACAAGGCGTTAGAAATTCATCAGGCTGTAGGACAAAGTAATAGTTGCCAATCTAATGTATATAATTTTAAAAATGAGTAATATTTAATGCTTAATACTGAATATAAGAGCACAAAAACAAACAAACAAATAAATAAATAAATAAACAATTTATTTATAAAATAATGCTGAAATGAAATGAACTCATTACTATTGTATGAATGTTGTTGTTGTTGTGGTTGTGGTCTTTGGATCAATTATATGAATACATGGTATATACTTGAATTCACCAATCATCATTTGAATAAGTAATAATGTATTAAAATTAATGAATGCAATGGTGTAATGTTATACTCTGTGTGTGTGTGTGTGTAAATATATATATTTCGACCGAAATCTACACCATTCATTTCAATTTCAACAGAATCATTCTATAGACCAAGGTATGGGTAATGTAAATTGAATATATTCAAAAAACCGATTGTTGATAATTTGTTACATCACTAATCTATATTGGATATTTTCATTGAGATATATGAATTGATCGTGAGTGAGCAGTCATTTTATTAAGACACGAGACTCAATGTACTGCGTTGGATTCCCAGTAAGTGACTGTCGTGGACGCACACTGCTGAATCGTCTCATTTAGCGACAAAACAGTCGTCTGTCTCTTGTCCTACATTCATTGGTTAGTGATCTCAGCGAAGGCTTCAATTAGTGACTTCGATTCAAGCCTGTAATGCATAGTAGTCGATTAATTCACAAATCAAACACTGATGACATTAATGTACTTTCACATTACAATCTGGTGTGCATGCAATTGTTATGGCAATAAACAATTTGTCAATGAATAACAATTGTATATGTTACGTGAATATTTTCTCAACTAGATGACATGAATGCGTTATAATGCGGCTTATGATATTTCACTAATGAAAGTTTGTAATCAGTGATTGTTATCAGTGCTTTAATGACCGTTTTACAATTTTCAGATATTATCGCACATTTCTGGTGATCAGTCCTTATAACTGACTTCCAATCAATTCTGTAATAAACATCATGCGTGAAAGTTTTGATATAGTTGTACGAAATGATAAATATACATTGACAGTCAAATTGTTCTACGGTGTATCAATTATTCTGTTGATCATATGGTTGATCAACATTTTACCAAGTCTTTTTCAATGGAGAATCAATCAAGTCGATCATGATGTAATACTTAAAACAATAGAATTTTCGTGCAATAATATATCTGTTCCAAACGGGTCAGAATCAGATCTTGCTAGTGTATTACACAAAATATATTCCCCTATCAGTAAAACGTCCGTTCAAAAATACCCACTGAGATTTAGTCTGGAAGAAAATAGACTTGAGAAATTATATGATTCATTGGGTGTGAATAAAACGGTAAGTTGATTATTAGAAATATTCTTTGATGTTGAATAGACTGACTGTCTTCTAATTAACTGATCCTTACTAATTATTCATTGATATTTCAAAATGACCGAGATTATGTGTGCAAAATATTTGTGTACATTGTTCAATTTCATAGTATTTTACATCACAGTGATCCACTCACCACTAGGTCTGTTGTTGAATCATCACAGAAACTTTGGTTGAGAGATGATGTTTGTAAGTGGAATGTTTATGGTGAGAGATATGAGGAGTTGAAGACACGTTCTTCAGATGTTTCTGGATGGCAAGTGTGAAATAACGTCAGTTTCAAACTTTCCATCAAATTGATGTTCACATCACGTGATCGTTTCATTCGAATTGCATCAATTGCATGAATGACATCAATAATAAAACTCGCCATCATTACTAACCATAAGGATAAATATCATTGATAGAAAGGTTGTAAATTATCCCATTGTTTATGATCTTGTCTGGATTTTGATGAATCTCCGAAGGAAAGGACCTTGAATCCTAGTTTCCATTGCTGTTCACAACTATATCCATTCCATAAAACATTTGGACATATACCGTTCACTTGGATATGAGATTGACGAAATCATATTTTGTGCGTTTGATTACTGAACTATGTATGAAATAGATGTTACATATGATGCTCATTAAATTGTTGAAAATCAACACATGAATTTGTATTCAACTCATGTTTCAGGTGAAGACGTTTCTCAAATATGGGCATCGTAAAATTTTTAGACCAATGAACTTTTCAAAATGTCACGCTTCGAAATGTGCAGTTATCACTGACATGAACAGATGGCGAGAAGCTGATGCACTTATACTGACAGAAGATAAAGTGCCAAATGGAATTCGACCTCCAGAGCAATTATGGTTTAGTTTAATAGAAGAGTCGCCTGTACATATTGCTATGCCAGGTACACTGGAAAATGAAGTGAGTAATTCTGGCCATAGTAATATTACTAATTTTTATCATTTCATTACGGTTGTATGTAGCTGACGAGGACTACAAAGTGTGAATAGATTCGTGTTATTCAATGAATAATATCATCATTCTTCATTTTGATCCACGAAATAGACTAATTGTGTGAAGTTTATGAGTTCCCATAAAACACATACCTATGTGTCACACAACAGTAGAAGTTGTCCAGCGAAAAGGTTTATACCTGGTTTGCTTTAGCACCCATGTTACACTGTGATTGATTTTATAAGAAACGTTTTCCAAGAAGATAAATAAATAAATGAATTCGTGTGCAATTTTAGCTTCGAATTCGTGGTCAATGTTCGAATTCAGGTGAAGACATTCATTAATTTAATGGATATTCATTGATTAGTTCATGAAATTTTATATAATGTTCAACTGAAGATTCAATTATTCAAATGAAAATGATGTTCACCTCTTGGCTGAACTCCATAGAATTCATTTCACCACTTTACACTATTATCGCAACTATCTTACAACCAATTTCGATTATGGTTAATTTTGGTTAAGCCCTTTTATTAACTTACTTAACAAACAATCTTATTAGAACAGTCACAATTTGTATATTCCTTTGTAGCGTGATGACCACTAGATGACAAGACAGACACTAGCCAAAATGTTGATCTTTTAAATATCATTCGATTATTCATTCACTTCCAGGATCATCCACTAACCAATTAGCTTGCTTTCGATTAGACAACGTATAATATGTACGCCTTCATTTAGATCAGTAAATTCCATTTGATTGAAAACTTCTTCAATATGTCCAGAATATCGATATAAAGGAGTGATAGTCAAATGATACTCGAAGTATATTTTCATTCTACAGAAAACCGACAGTTTCCAAAATATTATTAACCACACTATTACAGGATATTCTGATATATCTATGTAATATGCCACAAGGCATATTACCTGTAGTTAGGATTTAATAGGTACAGGTTGTAAACCCAAAAAAAAACTTAGACTGCATCGTTCTTTGGCTGCGTTCAAGACATTTTCGGGAGCTTATTTCATTCGAATCCTTATACTAACATTTATTTGTTAACAGTAGATTTCACTGTTGACGTAGATACATTGAACAAGTGATCTCTATACTTTGTTCATTATTCATTGTTATATATATGCCTAATATCCGCTTAAACTAATCAGTAAAAACCTGTCGTAAATACTTTCGACGTGTCATTCATGTCACCATTATCGGGACGATTTTTTATCATTTCGTTTGCATCTATGCAACTAATTGACACAAATGGATTTGCATAATAAATAGACTGTTAGAGATTTCGATTTGTCCACATGAATCATAGATGTCACTAATTACATATGTCATGTTTATTCACGAGCAAGACTAATCTACTTGTAAATATTCCTTTATTTTGGATACAATACACAAACTCTTACCTTTGAAAACCAGGAAGCACTGAACAGATATTTCATCTTAGTAAAGAACTCTTGAGCATTGTAAATACACCACCACACCAGAGGTCGTGATCAAAACACTCATGTCTGTACCGTTAATCTATAGTCCAAAACGACAAAACTAAACACTACCCACGAACCACTTTACTAAAACATTATTCTAATATCAAAACTACCAACTTGCTCATTCATTTCAATATCCATGATATCATTCCACCTGAATTTATCCCTCTGATATCAAGATTAATCACACTATCTCCTTCCGTCTGAATTCAACGATTTACTCACCATACGGTTCCTATGAGCCATACATGAAGCACCATGGACCAGAAACACGATATCCTTTACCTTCTAGAAACTTCGCTACTGGGAAATCGAAAAAAGTTGCATGGTTTGTGAGTAACTGTATACCGAAAAGTCCAAGAATGCAATATGCCAAAGAACTCTCACGATATATCCCGGTGAGTTTGACAAAGCTTAACATTGAGTTTCTACACATTTTTCAATAATTTTTATTAAACGAATAATTGACAAAATACAAAATGTAAATAGCATTAGTAAAATAATTGGAAGTATTTGAATTACTGTACGAACCAAGAATTCCCGAAATAGAGCAATCTAAGTTGAGAGAACTAGGTGGGCACTAACGAACGTTTGGTGTTTGAAATTCGAAATCAGACAGGCATTGGGCACAAAGGTAGCATTAGTTCACACAAACACCACTATGAAACATGCAATACTTGTCACTTGTAATTGTTATCATTTCATATGAAATGATGACAAATGTGATTGGATCGTGTAGGTTCAAATGAAGGAGAAACAAACTTATAATGATTGGAATATAATGAAACAAGGTCTACTGAAATTGTCTTGATTGATTCACAGAAATGCGTGAAGTATATATCATCAGTGTATTATTCCCACATCTGCACGATTGTGTGCTCTATCATTGTGTTGACAACAGGTCTCCATCTCTGAAACCCCGACTTCTCGATCATGCATGCGTTCTCGATGGAGTTCAAGCACTGATTCTTTAGCGATACCTACTTGATGCCTACCTACGTGATACACAATCCTATCCGAAATCAATTCAATTGTAAGTATAACTCGGATTGTTTCCTCTTCAACAAGTCTAAAAACATTTCTTAATATCTTTAGATCGTTCAGAGACTAATTAAATGAAAGCCCAATTCCTTTTTCAAGCACTTAGTGTGTCTATCTAATGAGCTCCAAATAAAAGGTGAAGCATCCTCACTTTCTCATTCTTTTGAGTGAGGTTTCGTAGTTACTCATTGGTCATATACTGTTGATGTTTAACGACCACTGAAGGTGTTTGATTTTATAACGATGTGTGTTCATTACTAGAATTTATAATCAATATCACCAACTATGAATATTTGATTGTCTTTCACTTTATTGAGAATTTATCCTGTAAATGTACAAGTTGGTTAGTCTATACATATAAACAAATGGGCATCTCAGAAACTTCAGGGATAGTGCTCAGATTGAAGATGATTTCATCGAATCGTCATTTTGTAGGGAACTGTATCACTGGATCAATATAACTACATGTGACTATTCCTTAAACTGATCTCACAAGATTGCCAATCCAGGTATTCTTACACCATACTCATTGATCACTTACTTTTATGTCCAAGTGTTATATGCATGTACATGAGTGAGCTCACTGTGTTCATGATGGGTATTTAGAAATGCTGGATACAGAAGTGCTGCTGTTGATGTGTCCATAGTTAGGCCGAAATGGCTGTGCAGTGCTCTCACGTTTTCAATGATGTTCTAGTTTAGATCTGCTTACGAACTCAGCTATTAAAATTTTAGGGGGAAACTGATCGTTTTATCAAACATACGCACAGTGAATTCGATGCGGTTACCAGCTTCATCATTAAAACATGTAATTTATCTGTTCCATAGCTCACCGATTCATTTTCTATTTTCAGCTTGATATTTATGGTCAGTGTGGCACGTTATCCTGTCCAAAGCATGATCCGACTTTTACCTCATCAGTTAGTTGCTTGAAAATGATTAGGGAAAATTACAAGTTTTATTTGAGCTTCGAAAATAGTTTGTGCAGTGAATACATAACAGAGAAGTTGTATAAAAATGCATTGAAGTAAGTTATTTGGTATTTATCTTGCATAAGAGTGTAATCAAAGTCATCAATTTATTTATATGTGTTCATAATCATCGTCTCAAATTGTCATATTATTTCAGAACAACGAAATGAAATTGGCAGAGTGAACTGCAATGTATTACAGTGATGTTGGTTTTAGTGATAGGCGGCAACTCATAGTCATTTAGCACTTACTTACTTACTTACTTACTCACTTACGCCCGTTACCCTTCGTGGAGGAGCATATGCCAACCACCACCATTCTCCATCCAACTCTGTCCTGGACAATCCTTTCCAGTTCTTTCCACTTGTTATTCATCCTTTTCATATCTACTTACGATTGCCGACGACGCGAGTTCTTTGGTCTTACTCCTTTGCGTTCACATTCACGATTCCAAATTAGTGCTTGTATCGTGATGCAGTCTGGTGATTTCCTCAATTTATTTCCTGTCTACTTTCATCGTCTTTTCCTAATTTACTCTTCAGATGGGAGCTGTTTTTTTTCTGTCTCACAGTGGGTTATTGCTGATGGTATCCACTCAATGGAAATTGAATATTTTGCATGGACAATTGTTTACAAATACTTGTATGCTTTTGATGATGGTTGTGGTAGTTCTCGAAGTTTCTGTATTGACGTTCGTATTGAGGACTCTGACGTTGATATTGTTTGGCAGTTGTTTTCAGTTCTGTGTGTTCTTCAACTTCACATAGTCGCAGACAAATAACGATTCTTCAATCTGAAATAGATTTCAGTGACCCAACCGTTGTTGCTACCTTGAGGTGGTGGTCGGACTTGCCTATCGTGATGAAGCAACCGAACTATGCTGGCTGGAACAACCGTTCCTCAAGGTCCTACCATGTCAGACAGGTCGGTTGAAGAGCGGTAAGACTAAAAGCAACAAACCCAAGGTCCGAAGGCGAAGTCGTACTGCTGACTGTACAGAGGTGTGAGAGCAGTAAGGTCTTTCCTTCACACAACCAGAATGACAGCGATGCTGCCTTCCCACAAGGAGGGGTGGGGTTAGAAAAGATCGACCCTAAATATGCACACCTTCCCTTATCCCACAGATATCCGTCTCCGGTGGTAAGGTCTCAACAAGTACGGAGCTAACACAAAAATGACACATAAAAAGGTCTTGTGTGACTGACCTCAAGCAGTTGTCCCTTGGGCACTGCGGTCACGCTCCCAGGTCACTAAGACCACGTTTAGTCCGATTTCCTTCTCAGATACCTCCAGAAGAACCCTTCCACGGTGTGGGCGACCAGGAAGTGATAACCGCCCTAATAACTCTAACAGCACTCAAGACCATTGTATTCATAATCAACCTCCGTCTTCACTTCCTATTATTTCTCTTACATCGACTTTCACTTCTAAACTTCCTTTTTCGGCTTCCCTCTCAAGTGTCACCATAGCCAACGATTCTAGTGCTCAAAACACTTTCCCAGGTCTGCTGAAACCTCGCTCCAAACTACACATTGGAGCCTTCAACGCACGTACCCTATGTCAAATCGGTCAACGGGCTTCCTTGGCTAGAACCCTAGAATCTCGTACCATTGATGTATGCTGTGTCTCTGAAACACGCATACAGGATCCCAGTGTGGTCATTCACTTGACCTCACCTTGGCAAAACAGAGAGCCAACGAGACACACCCTCCGTGTATCTGGTGATCCGATGGACAGTTCTCGTGGACTGGCAGGTATGAGCATAGCACTAAGCATGAGGACGGAACAAGCACTGTTATGGTGGATCCCCGTTAACAGTGGTTTATGTGCTGTTCGGCTAAACGGCTTCGTAAAAATTCGGAAGGATAGGGATACACATTGTTGCCTCTTTGTCGTTTCTGCCTACACTCGCACCGACTGCAGCTCAGATGAAGTGAAAGATGAATTTTACAGAAAGCTATCTGAACTCCTTCAGAAAGCTAAACGTTCACACATAGTACTCCTAGCAGGTGACTTTAATGCCCAGATAGGTAGTTTAAACCAAACAGAAAGGCATTTAGGTGAGTATTTTAGTATTCCGGCACAACGAACAGACAATAGTGATCGTCTGCTGCAACTGTGCTTAGAAAATCGTTTATTTTTAGCAAACAAAAATTTTAAGCATAAGCGGAGACATCCTCTAAAATGGTGACCCCCTACACCAAACCAACGATGGACTCAAATAGACCATATTGCCATCAGTCATCGTTGGAGAGGGTCGGTAGAAGATTGTTGCTCATTCTGGAGTACCTGCTTGGACTCCAACTATGCCTTAATACGGGCACGCATCTGCTTGCGCCTCACTGGACGTAAAAAAACAAACTAAAATGACCCATTAGAACTTAATTGAGTAGCGAGAAAATCAAAAGTAGGTTCCAGGAACAACTGAGGTCACAATAACTTAGTTCTGAAAACGAGGCTGACCCAGATGTTGCTTGGAAAGATATACAAACAGCTGTGGAAACAGTAGTGAAATATATCAATGATTTAAACCACAGGGTTACAAAGAACCAATGGATTTCCTCAAGGTCTATTGCACTGATGGATTCTCGCAAACTTATCCCATCAAGTTCCGAACACGATGAAGAGCCCAAACAAATCAGGTCTAGGTTAACCAAAAGTCTAAGAAACGACCGTGAGCAGTCGTGGGCAACGAAAGCAAAAGAGATGTAAAGGGCAGCGGCTATAGGGAACACAAGACAGCTCTACAGACTAATAAAAGAAACTGGAATTACTAAGTCAAGTGTAAGTCAGCTATTTTGGAAAAAGACGACACTCATCTGCTCCCAGTCCAGACGTTTAAAACGATGGGCGGAACATTTCAGAGAACAGTTCAGCTGGCCCTCAGCTGCTCTACAACTAACATCTATTACCAGACAGTGTGAATGGAACATTGAAGTAGGCCCCTCAACTCTAGCTGAAGTTCAAAATGCTGTAGTTTCTCTGAAGCGAGGAAGGGCAGCTGGTCCAGATGGATTGGCTCCAGAGGTCATTAAGTATGGTGGTCCAATTTTAGCGATTAGGTTGACTAACATTTTAACTAAGATCTGGGAGTTGGACACAATTCCATCTGACTGGTCGCAATCACTGATCGTCCCAATATATAAGAAGGGATCAAAATCATCTTGTGAAAACCATAGAGGGATTAGTTTAAGTAGTATAGTATCTAAAGTACTAGCCTCGATAATTATAAGACGCCTAACTAAGACTCGTGGACTGCAAACACGAGAGAATCAAGCTGGCTTTAGACCTGGTCGTGGCTACATCGACCACATATTCACCATTCGTCAGGTTCTAGAACACAGGCAAGCTCATCGGCGTCCGACAATGATAGTCATTTTTAATTAAAAGCAGCACTTGACTTTGTTGGCCGAGAGGTTTTGTGGGAATGTCTGTTATTGAAAGGCGTACCTGAGAAGTACATAACTTTGTGGAGGCCCTTTACTCGAATACTACCAGTCGAGTCAGAGCTTATGGCGAACTGTCATCTGCTTTTGCAACCTCAAGTGGTGTCCTTCAAGGCTGTCCACTTTCTCCATTTTTGTTTAACTTAATTGTAGACCTATTGATGGAAATAACGCTCTCGTCGATTGAATTCTCGGGTATTGATCTCCTTCCAGAAGGTCCACTTATCGACTTAGAATACGCAGATGATGATGTCCTATTTGGTGAAGACGCTGATAAAATGCAGAGTCTTTTGGTAGCATGTAGCGTGGCGTCGAGTTGAGATTAACTGTGAACACCGCTACCAAGAAACACGTGCCAAGCGAATCAGAAGGCGTAAGAAGCTCGTTCCAAATGACTCCATAAAATCCCCGAGAAGCCAAATATCAGAAGGCAATTAATGGACCAAGTCGATGTTTATTTGCTGGCGATCTCGTGGCATCGAAAGGATACCGAGATCGTGCCAGGATACAAGCTTGGTTACAGAACGTAACCGAATTCGCGCGAAGTTACAATCAAAGTGTAAGCGAAAGAAAGGAAGCACAAAATAGCTGTCATTAGCACAGTCAAACAAAAGCACGTTAAAACAAACACTGGTACAGTTGGTTATAATAATAATTGTTTTTATTAAACCAGTCGTGTTCTCGTGATAAACGTGAGTCACTACAAGCACTAAGCAACAATGCCAGAATGTTTGGAATGCGCTTCTCTCTTCTAAATGCAAGTTGTTGCTTTAGGACTGGTCTGCGTCAACACTTTATATGCAATCTTTCTTTTATATATCACTACCACCTCTGAATTAACTACTTTTATGAATTCGGTGTCCATCTTGTTGAATTAATGAGGTATAGCAACTTGGACCGTTGCATATATGTGCCTGGTCCTACGTTGTAGCTGTCTGAGATTTCAATGAGGTCTTCTGAAGATGCTTAACAGAATAATGCACATAATACAAAATGAGGGATCTAATGCTCAATACTCGGAATAAACTTCACATTAGATAAGGGAGAATATGAGAAGTTCATGACGGATGTGGCTGTGATTGTGGGATATTGTAACAAATAAATTGCGAATAAGTTAAGAATGGTTAAACGTATTGCAGTAGACAACAGGTCAAACGAAAACTTATGATAAAAGAAACCTGAATATACATACTATATATATAATCTAGTAACTTAATAATTATCTAATAAGAATATATGCAATATTAAATGAATGTTGGTTAGCAGTAGAATACGCGTCCCATCATACTCGGTGCTCCTCAGCTGAATAGATCTGCATCACCCAGTTGATGTTCACCCGTGGAATCAAACCCAGCACCATGCGCTCCTTGATTCTACTACTAGCCTCCATCCATCTCTGCTTATAATGCTTGTGATGGATGCAATATCAAGGCAATCTTCACAGGATACACATATGTCAATTAGAGACTGATCAATGTAAGTCATAAACATCAATGGAACGATTCAAACAAACAATACCAAAATCAATATGTAGTAATAATCCATAAATAATTCCTAGCAGTTACCAATGTATATTAAAATATCATAGACCACATTTTCCTGTATCTGTCACGTCAAAATAAAACGGTGAAACTGGCTAAAACTGAAATCTCACCTCCATCGTTCTGTAAGTTGAAATTTTGACATTTTCAATGTATATACATATTTTTGCGAATGTTCACGGTTCACTTGTATGATGAGATTTCGATAAGTGTTTAACAAATTGCAAACTTATTATTCATTCCAAGAAACGATATACTTCCAATTGTGATGGGTGCATCGATAGAAGAATATGAAAGAGTCGCTCCTCCATACTCGTTTATTCACGTTGATCAATTCGAATCACCAGGGAGACTGGCAGACTATTTGAAGTATTTGGACACGAACGATACTGCATATAATGAATATTTTGCATGGCATGGTCATGGAATCATACATGATTACGATGCCCAACCTCAATGTGCAATGTGTCTACTAGCTCATACATCTCATTCATTTGGTCCATATTGGGTTCCGCGTGTGGCACGATGGTGGAATGATGGATGTAATGGTCGGAAATTGCGTTGGAATCCATGAAACATGAATATTGAGAACAGAAACATTGTTTTATATTAGATTGTTTTAAATTGTAATGTACATAGTGCTTTCTGTGGTATAGATCAAATTACATTTGAAAATGGACAATATTTTACACATAATAACAATTCTGATATTTTTCATGAAAACAGTTGTCACGTTAACTCAGACAATTTCATATGGAATGATTATGGAGCAACATTATGCTTTACACTATTCACAAATGATTGTAATATGATAATGAGAAAGGTATAAATGTTCATAATGGAGAAGTATTGGGAAAGAAAATATCAAAAATTAGATTTGAGGGAGGGAAAGTATTATCTTTTCATATTAACTTTCCATCCTAAATTTCGACCAATTTTAATATCAATACCATGGGTTATAATAATTAACACCGTCTAAATTGTAGTTTCAACTGATTCACGTGAATATAAATGAGTTAATAATTGGACAAATGTAAATATTAGTCAGTTGGTTAATGGCAAAAAATAGTCGTGTAAATGAATGGACAATAATATCAAAGGGTTTTTTGATTAGACATGTATAGTTTTACAATTGATTGATCACTGAGTGGTGATCAATATCATGTGCGTCAAGTCGTTCTTAGTGTAGATCGAATGATATCGACCAAATTACAATGTGGCCACTAGTCTAGGTGACTCAACATTGCGTGCACTATGTTGAGATAAGATGGTCAGATTGAAGAATCTGTGCGAACCCCTTATAGATGTAAATGTGATAATTTAAATGAATGATGTAGAAAGGGATTATTTACTCAACATAATATACGCTATCTGACTGAAGGGTAGTGATGCTACTTGGATGGCTAGAGGGTAGATCGTGCGAGATCGTTTCGAACATGTGACACAATGTCACTATTCAAAGTAATAATTATGTTGAGTGAGATATGATTCTTGTTATCTAAACTACTAGAGAGAAAATGTCCTACTGCTTTGTCTGTTCTTTGTTCACCTATAAAATACGACATTTTGCGATAACATCAAGTCGCTTAGTTCTGCATCACGTGAGTAGTCAAAAGTGTGTGAAGAAAACAAGCTGGAGACATTATCAGATATGGCTCAGAATAGAAGCCAGTGGCGATCCTGCTGTAACCTTTTTTGCTTTCTTCATAAAGAGTGGCTGTATCTTCCTTAACTGAAAGATTTTTTCTGGTTGAGCCCTTCCGTTCCCCCCGTTATTATTATTATTATTATTATTATTATTATTATTATTATAACTATTACACTTCCTTACACTAATCTGGTCGTTATTGTTCCTTTTCTTCTTTTTTTTCTTTTACGCTCCTTACCTTTCTCTCCCCATTCTCATTGTTTTGTGCGGCACATATATATTTGGTGCCCTATTGTACCAATATTTATGTGTTAATATAAGTAAATAAATAGCTAAAGTGCTTTTGCTTGTCAAGCAAAATGTAAGTGTTCTTGAGAGACATGCAATTTATGCTTTCTTCTGTTCTTTGTTCACCTATAAAATACGACATTTTGCAACAAAATCAAATCACTTAGTTCTGTATCATGTGAGTAGTCAAAAGTGTGTAGAGAAAACAAGCTTCAAAAATCAATCTTGATTACATAGATAGCTACCGTGAATATGATACTCTTTGTTCTTTCTTAAAGCATTTCTCTGAAATTGTGTTACGTTTTCATCGTCTCTGTCAATTATAAATTAGAGTTTTACCTTCGTTTCCGGATAGATTTAAGATGACATGAATGGCACAATCGCTAGTTGAGAAAAACATAATTAAAACTACAGGTCATCTACAGAGAGACCAGTGAGTGCATAAATTGTGACGAAATGGTCACTTATCAATCCTCTACTATGTATCAGGGACAATGTTTATATAGTTCACTTGAATATCTGACGATTAATTCGTCTCGTGATAACTGTTACATTGGTTTGGCAGTATAACATATATTTAATGAGTCTGGAAATTTTCCCAAACACATTTTCCTATGTGATTCACTGGAAAATGTTTACCACTTGAAAATGACACAATCTGTGATACAAACGTTCTTCAAAACCTCTCCTCCATCTATTTACGAATTATTTTCGAAAATGTCTAATTGCTTGCCAATCAATTAAGGGCGTGTAGCGACATTTCAGCTGAAACCTCACAACCCATCATTTGATGGTCATCAATTACATGACGAGACCATTTATGACTAATGATTTTCTCGTCTCGTTACAACTAGAACATATAACTAGCAGCACCACAATTATTAATTGCTAGTAGTGGAATCCAGTGTGATGTGTGATTCCCGTCTATTTGGGAGTCGTCAGCTAGATGTTCCTGCACATCAGAGTTGATTTTCACTCATCGACTCGAACACATTACCATTCGCTTCAAACACTATCTCGTTATCCACTTAGCTACTGAGTTCTACAATTATTAACAGATTCCATAATTCTCTTCAATTATTTAATTAAAATCAAAGTGAAGTCTGAAATCAAGTTGAAAGTTCGAACAATATTTCTCGTCAACGAATTTCAATCAAACGACACCGAGCGTAACAGAATAGCATTAATGCTTTCAACTTGCGGATTATCGTCAGTTGCTTACAACACAGAAACGAAAGCAACAGTTGTTTATAAACAATGTTTACAAATATGATAGTTATCGAAAATCATTATCAACCTTAAAACATCTCTGTTTTTAAAGTAAAATTGGAAAATACACTGTCAGTATAGTTTCCAACTAACAACAGAAATCCCACCATCTACTCAATCCCATTAAGAATTTTCCAAAATTTGAAAATATTTCTTAATAGACTAACAATTCATAATGCTACCTAAACGGCTCAGCTAATAGTTCAATCGCAAAGTGATCCAGTGTTTATTTCAAAAGACAACTCAATCCTAATGGTCTTCAAAGGCAGTAGATAAGACCCTGAATGCTTTGTGTGTGAAAAGGGTAATTGAACCGACTCAGTCTTCAGAACGGGGTACTCCTATTGTCACACTATTGAAGTCTGATCGGAAGATCCCTAGATTATGTGGAAGCTGAAGATATTCCTAGTCGACTTCATGGTCCTATGGTATTCCCGAAATTCGACACAAAATATGACTTTCTTCAAATTCCCTTGGTTCGATCTTTATCCTTTTCAACAAAAGTTAACACTCCTTTCGGTTCACTCGAATACAACTACCTTCGATTTGATTTGAGTTGTTCTCCATTCATATTTCAGACAGTGTTTGCTAATGTAGTCAGTGATGTTAAAGGTGCTGAGGTTTATCAAGATTATCTTATTATTCATGATTCTGTTACAGTAGCTCATATTCACAAACTTATTGCTTTATTGCGTCGTCTAATTGAGAAGAATATTGCCGTAAATACGAACAACTGTTCATTTTGTGAATCTAATTTTGAATGTCTCGTACACCTAGTTGATGGAAACGGTTTTAAACCAGATATGAAGCGAGATGCTCCACTGACCAATGGACGACCTCAGAGAAATCTCACAGAACTCAGTTCACTAATGGGTGCTCTTCAATACTGCTCCAGATTTGTTCTTGATTTTTCTTGTCGTCTCAATCGTCTTCATCAAATCTTGACATAGAACTCGTTTAAACGGGGTGAGGAGCACGTATCATGCTTATAAAGTCTACCAAAGTTTCTTCAAAGTGGTGCTGTTCTTAAAAGTTACATTTCTGATGCATCACCTGTGGGTATTGGTGAGGTATTGGAGCAGTGAGGTAGACCAGTATTCTGTTTTTCACGCAAAATTACTGACGCTGAACATTTAAAAACAAGGTTGAAACCTGTTTTTGAATAGCAACATTTGATATCCGTAAAAATTGACTTGTTCATTTTACTATTCACCAGGGTTCTTGGTACCTGTGTGGTTGCGCCACAGGATTGAGCTGTACTATTCAAATTGTAGCGTTGAGGCCTTTACGGTGTCTGGTTCCTCTGCTAAACGGGGTTGAGCTGCACTGTTTGGGTTTTTACGTGAAAGTCCGGATGGTGTCTGGTTCTCCTGAAAACCAATGTAAAATTACCCTGGTCCACAAGGGTATATTATATATATATACTGATATGCATCAGTTGCGATTATGCCCTTTCACAAACTCACTGTTTCACTCACTATCGCTTCAGAGTAAAAATTACCTGATGATTCTTTGTCTTCTCACTCACATAGCAGGATTCAGTCGCATTTAGAAAGCGTGTATATCAGTATTAGAGCTGGATAACCAAGCGACATGTTGCTCAAAGAGAAACGTTGTGAAATAAAAAACTGAATTTCAAGAAAATCACTACTCTATATAGAAATAAAGGAGCTTAGATTAAGCTGCCAGTTGCATCTACGAAATCGACACTAACAAACATTTGAAAATTCATACAAGTGATAGAGGAACAAAATTGTTTCAATCACCAGATTGTGGACTGGAAAATATATGAATTTCAGTGTAAATCATCTTGATAAAAAAATGCAATGTTTCTTGTGGTGTTTGTATGAACTAATGATTCCTCTGTATTAGTTTACTGCTTGATTTTGAATTCCAAATATAATTCATTCGTTCGTGTTTAACTAGTAATTCTTGATTAAATTGAGTTATTTCTGGCATTCCTTGTTCGTACAATAATTGAAATACTCCTAATAATCTGATTGGCGTGGCAATGGAGCCTGTGATAGAATGGTTGGACATACATTCAGATTTTGATGCTTTTGAGGATTACATGGAAATGTTCGAAATCTGGTCTATGATCAAGGAAGATTTTGACGATGGTAATACTGTGGCTCATTTTCTTTACATTCATCGGAAAACAAATCGACAGCTTATTAAAAACTTTAGCATCTTCAGAAAAGCCTACTTCGCTTCCTTATGCAACACTCAGGGAACTACTGATAGAGTATGTTAATCATACAAATCTCGGATGCGGTAAATGATGTGTGGGGTAGAATGATAATGATTGGTTGTCTGTTTAGTCAGATATGTAAACAGTGTGACAGGTGTCAGATGAGTCATATATTCTTCTATCCTTATAATTACTATTATTGATTGTTCATTGTTGTTGGTTTGTGTCGGTTTTTGGTGTGGAAATTTATTGACGTTATAGTCAGGCTAA